TACCGTTTGTTCATACCGTTTGTTCATACCGTTTGTTCATACCGTTTGTTCATACCGTTTGTTCATACCGTTTATTCATACCGTTTGTTCAAGTAAAGAGAAGCATATCAACACAATAACGGCTATGGCAAAAAATAAGATGGATAGACAGAAACAACATAGGGGGAAAAAAGAATTGGGACTGATCCGTAGCGCCAACTGACTAAAAGCATTCAAGATCGCTGTGCCGTCGGCAGAAATAGCTTTACGTTGCTTGATTCGCGATTAAAAAGAAACACACTGATGCGATGCAAGCCATTTAGTTTCCCAAAAAACAACTAACTAGGAACAAAAACATTAGTTTTAGTAAGCGTTTAACAGCACTCGCAACACAATGAGGTATATAAGTCCCGAAGATTGGAGGTGTCACAAAAAAGTAACAAACACACAAAAAAGAAAGAGGAGAGATAGATAAGGGGGATAGAAGCTTCATAGTGAAGAAGGAGCAAACCACTTCGGAGCACCTGCCAACCGCCCACCAGCAGAGACAGTATCTCGAAGAGACAGTAAACACAGAAGCTACATCGGTGCCCTCCCTATGCCCAGGACAAAAGTGATGTACTGCTGGTGCTATGCAGCACATTAAGAGGCCACCGTGATGGCCATCCAACATTATATGGACAAAGCAAAAGGGAAAACGGGGAGGGCTGATAAATCTTTAAAGCGAAGTCTTTGTAGACGTCACACATATATAATCTGTAGTGGAATGGCAGCCTGCGGCAAATCCATACGTTTTAGCACAAGGAAGGACAAGTACGTCGACACTAACGGACATTTATCGTCAGGAAAAAGCGAGACCCGTTGACAGAAACAACAGAGGAAAAATAAAGAAATATGACCCACCAGTGACACCCATCAACCACCTTCCATCAGTCATCAAGCAGACTTTTCAGAATGCCCACACCGAAGCAAATAACATACACTATAGAAACTGCAAGAGGCTGGATCACTTTAAAAATAACAAAACGTTGTATTCAAACCCTCAGATATAATAGGACGTTTCAGGCATTACATTTCTTATCCCGACACATACACGCGCGCGCGCGGTAAATGACTTTTTGTTGTTGTCTGTGTGCTGTTTTTAGTACAGCAACACGCATCACACAATAAAGGTCACTTGTTACTTTAAGGATGGGGGGGGGGACGCTAATACAGTTAGACAAAAACTATACAGTGTAAAAAAAAGAAGTTGGACCAACCAATAAAACCCTTCAAATACCCGTACGCTGAATGACAATCGCATCGGAAACCACAATACGCTAGACTTAACAGAAGATACAGACCGCGCCAAAGTGCTCACCAACCACCCCTTCAAGCCCTATTCTCGGAATAGAGTGGTGGGGAGAGACGGGGGGAGGGGGGGTGGGGGGAGAGAGAGAG